TGAAGTGAGTTGCCCTGCCCTGATGAATACCTAAGACTCCACCCCTTCATCATAACAGGCATTAGGAGACAAAGAAATATGGCCCAAATGAAAGAACAGATCCTCAAAATTCCAAATATAGAACTAAGAAATGAAGAGATAGCCAACCTATCAGATGCAGAGTTCAAAACACTGGTAATCAGGATGCTCACAGAAATGCTTGAGTATGGTCCCAAAATGAAGGAAAATGTGAAGGCTATGCAAAGTGAAATAAAGAAAAATATACAGGGGAACCACCAGTAAAGGGAAGGAAATTGATACTCAAATCAACAATTTGGAACAGAAGGAAGAAATAAACATTTAATGAGAACAGAATGAAGAAACAAGAATTCAAAAAAATGAGGAGAGGCTTAGGAACCTCTGGACAATTACTTGTTTCAACATCTGAATCACGGAGGTGCCAGAAAGAGGAGAGGAAGAGCAAAAAATTGAAAACTTATTTGAAAACATAACAAAGGAGAACTTTCTTAATCTGGTAAAGGAAATAGACTTTCATGAAATTCAGGAAGCTCAGAGAGTCCCAAAGAATTTGGACTCAAGGAAGCACACACCAAGGCATATTATAATTACATTACCTATGATCAAAGATAAAGAGAGAATCTTAAAAGCAGCAAGAGAAAAGGAGACAGTCACCTACAAAGGAGCTCCCATCAGACTGTCAGCCGATTTCTCAAAAGAGACCTTCCAGGCAAGAATGGGCTGGAAAGAAGTATTCCAAGTCATGAAAGGCAAGGACCTACATCCAACATTGCTCTATCCAGCAAAGTTTTCATTTAGAGTGGAAGGGCAGATAAAGTGCTTCTCAGATAAGTTCAAGTTAAAAGAGTTCATCATCACCAAACCCTTATTATATGAAATGTTAAAGGGACTTATCTAAGAAAAAGAAGATAAAAAATATGAACAGTAAAATGATAACAAACTCACAACTATCAACAAATGAACCTAAAAGAAAAGACAAACAATGAAAACAAAAACTAAGCAAACAACTAGAACAGGAACAGAATCATGGGAATGGGCATCACATGGAGAGATTTCAGTTGGGAGGGGGAAGGGAGGAAGAGTGGGGGAAAGTTATAGTGAAGAAGAAGCATAATTGGTAGGCATAAAATAGATGGGGAGAAATAAAAAATGCCATAGGAAACAGAGAACTCAAAGAATTTATATGTAGAACCCATGGACATCAACTAAGGAAGGGGGGGTGTGGAGGGTTGGGGGATACAGGGCAAAGGGGGGGCTAAAGGAGGAAAAATTAGGAAAACTGTAATAACAATCAGTAAAATATACTAAAAAATAAAGTATATTTGCTTAATAAATAAAATAAATACTATTTTAAAGTTTATGATGTCATCAGAAATTTATTTATTTGTGATATAATATAAAACATACCAGTGGACATGAAATATATACCATTTAGATGATCATTCACCATCCTTTATAATAGCCAGTACACAATGGAAATCACTTTTTCAAATGAGCCGAGGCCTTGTTATCCTAGTATCTAATATCCTTATCAAATTTTTTTATGTTCAGTTTGTGAATCATTCTTCATAGATCACCCCTAGAATGATTTTCAACAAACCTGAAAAAGGCATAAATAATATAGATTACCTTCTGAAATCACAAATTTAGTCAGAAAACACTTAAGTATTTGGTATATAAATCTTGTGAAGAGCTTTGATTTTGTGTGACAACTCATCATGAATATGAATTGTTATTTATGGGTGAAAATGTCTGACAACAGATATTTTCAATCCTTTATTTAATAGAAAGAATGCACTCATAATGGCTTAAGTGGCTACAATGATTGACAAGAGCACAGAGGATATCACTTGAAACTAAGCCATTACAAAAATTTGCTTTAGAAGGGCGTAAAAGGCTATATGTTCTCTGGCCAACATGGAGGCATATGTGAAAATACTGTACCTCCTCGAACAACCAAATTTAAGGACAACAAAGAATTAGAAACAAAAACACAACCAAAACAGACAGAAAATTGAACTGTACCAAAGTTTGACAACAATGAACCATTCATCCAGAGCTGTAAGGAGGCGGTAAAAGGGGCAGAGTTGGTGGCTGGGCAGAGAGGGGTCCTGCCAGGAAGAGGGGGTGGCTGGCAGAACTGGGTGCGGGAAGAATCAAGCAAACCCAGTGAGGCGCATAAGGCAGCTGGCTGACCACGGGCACATACTCATGAACAGATAAACCAGGTAGGTTTAAAAAACGGTCAGTGAGACAGACCGCACAACCCAGGGCCCCAGCGACAGGAAATAAAGCCTAAAAGCACTGAATGAAAAACTTTCGGGGGTTGAAGTGCCAGGAGAGGGGGCACCCAGACTCACAGGAGAGTTCATTGGGGAGACCCACAGGGTTCTAGAACATATACAAGCCCACACACCCAGGAACCAGCACCAGAAGGGCCCAGTTTGCTTGTGGGAAGTGGCAGAGGGGACCAAAATCTAAGAGAGAGCCCAACAAATGCCATTGCTCCCTCTTTGACCCCACACCCAGTCACAACCAAGTGACTGGGCTGACCCACCTCGGTGAACACCTAAGCTTTCTCCCCTCATATGTAACAGGCGTGAACAGACCAAAACATTATGGCTCAAGCAGAAGAACAGCTCAAAACCCCAGAGCCAATACTTCTAAGTGACAAAGAGATAGCCAATCTATCAGATAGATGCACAGTTCAAAACACTGGTGATCAGGATGCTCACAGAATTGATTGATTTTGGTTGCAAATTAGTTGAAAAAATGAAGGCTATGCTAACTGAAATAAAGGAAAATGCACAGGGAACTAATAGTGATGGGAAGAAAACTGGGACTCAAATCAATTGAGTGGACCAGAAGGAAGAGAGAAACAACCAAACAGGAAAGAATGAAGACATAAGAATTCAAAAAAATGAGGAGAGGCTTAGGAACTTCCAGAACATCTTTAAAAGTTCCAACATCCAAATTATAGGGGTACCAGAAGGGGAAGAGGAAGAGCAACAAGTGGAACACTTATTTGAACAAATAATAAAGGAGAACTTCCCCAATCTGGCAAAGGCAATAGACTTCCAAGAAATCCAGGAAGCTCAGAGAGTCCCAAAGAAGTTGGACCCAAGAAGGAACATACCAAGGCACATCATCATTGTATTAGCCAAGATTAAAATGGAGAGAATCCTAGAAGCAGCGAGAGATAAGGGGATAGTCACCTACAAAGGAGTTCCCATCAGACTGTCAGCCTATTTCTCAAAAGAGACCTTCCAGGCAAGAAGGGGCTGGAAAGAAGTATTCCAAGTAATGAAAACCAAAGACCTACAACCAAGATTGCTCTATCCTGCAAAGCTTTCATTTAGAATGGAAGGGCAGATAAAATGCTTCTCAGATAAGGTCAAGTTCAAAGAGTTCATCATTACCAAGCCCTTATTGTATGAAATGTTAAAGGGACTTACCTAAGAAAAAGAAGATTAAAAAAGATGAACAGTGAAAAGACAGCAAACTCACAGTTATTAGCAACCATACCTAAAACAAAAGCAATCTAAGAGGACAGCTAGATCAGGAGTGGAATCATAGAAATAGAGATCACATGGAGGATTAGCAACAGGGGAGTGAGAGGAGGAGAAGGGAAAAGAAGGTAAAGAGAATAAGTAGCATAGACAGTAGGTAGAAAATAGACAGGGGGAGGGCAAGGATATATAGGAAATGTAGAATCTAAAGAACTTGTGACACATGGACATGAACCAAAAGGGGGGAATGTTGGGGGAGGGGGTGTGCAGGGTGGAGGGGAATGAAAGGGGGGAAATGGGAGGACTTAACGGCATAATAAATAAAATATGTTCTTAAAAAAGAGTATATATTCTTTGTAAGAATATATTGGGTTCTTACAAACCCAATACACACCTAATTTTTACAGTAGAAGTGTGGCATTTTTCCCAGATAATAAATTTAATCTTTCTTATACATCACACATTCATTGAACAAAAGTATTTTGATCTTTTATTATGATAGGCAATGTTCCAGCTGCTGGAATTACAAAACAGAAGCTAAATCCCTCTAGGAATTCATAGGTTAGGTGGGAGATGTAAAGACAGCATGGTAATTATTATGTAAAGTTTTGAGAAAGCCAGAGGATAGAGTGACTATATGTTAAGAATTAAATATGATATCAAAGAAATAAAGAAAAAATAAAAGATCAAGCAACTATGACAATAGAAAACAACTTTTTCAAGACCTGGTTTACAGACTGGAGTGTTGGCTTGTAAGTCCCAGACAGAAGTGATCAGCTATGCAGACCTTATACTTATACATGAAAATTGCTTAGAGTGTTTGATTTGATTCAAAAAAAAAAAAAAAACACCCCCTCCCCTTCTGTATAAACGAGTACCTGAAACCACAACTGAAGGTAGCAGAAGCATAATTTCAAACTCCCTTTCGTAAAGCTTCCCCTACTTCCTCTGACCGAATTAGGATTGTTTATGGTACCATGCAGGGCAGCCGTAGATAATTTCATGCTCACTGTGGCCAGCTGGGAAGGGCTGGGGTTTGTCAGAGACTGACATTTGGAGAATTAAAAAGGCCAAAGAAAGATGGCTGTAGTTATATAATGAAGAAATTAATTTAGAATTCATTTAAAGGGCAGAAGGGACCCTGGGGGGAAAAAAAAGAAAAATGAGAATTATAAATGAGAGGATTTTTGCCATTCGTAAAAATCTGGGTCACTTACTGCTGTATTTTTCCATTCGTGTTTTTGTCTGTGGACTTTGATAGCACAATTGTCTACTAAGTGTGCATCATCTGAGTCTAACAATAGATTTCATTCCAGAATACAATTGTTATATGGCAGAAATTCACTATGTTGGAGAAAAAGTCAATCAACACAGTTTTAAGCTTTGTATCCTTTTGTTTGTAGGAAGTCAGGCATAAATGAACATTTGTCATTGGGCTTTTCTAGTGCATTTTCAGCATACTGTGCCTTGGGCATGATACATCAGAGTCTGGTGTTTATCTTTTATTACCTGCCAGATCCCTCTGGAAACAGCCTCCATGGAATTCATCATCTGCAGTGTTTGTTTCAGGTATACATATAAAAACATGTTGAATGCTTTAGTTGGGAATATTGTGGTTTCCAAGGGCAACTTAAATAAAAAGTGTGAGATGAATAATGAAGGGGACCTTCTGGAGGAGGTATGAAGTTAATAATTAAAATGTTATTTATGAGACTACTGATAGCAAAGCCTTCTATTGTTGTATGTCAACTATTTGAATGCCTGTATGAATAAGGACAGCATGATTATACTTGTTTCGTGTCTATTTTGGAGATTTTTGTGAAGAAACTCTTCTTTACTACACATTGAATTTATAAAAAAAAATAAATTCAGAGTTTGCATTCAGAAAGCTTACTTAGTTTTAATAACACTTAAAGTAATTTCATTAGGTACTAAGTTTCAGAAGCATGAGGATACTACAAAATTTTTATGCCTATTTTGATTGTTATTGAGAGTACAATCTTTGTTTTTGTTAAAGCATTTGTCTCATTCTAGTAAAATGCTTTGAGGGAGTGAGGGCTAGGTGGAGAGGGGCAAATGGGGAAAAGGGGGACATGTGTCATAGTGTCAACAATACAAAATGATTTGAGGTTAAATGTTTAAAGTTGAGAACGTTGGGAGCTAAAATATATTAATACTTTTCTCCACCTTCTAAGTTCTTCTAGCTTGTCTAATAACCAAATTAACAGATTAATAGGAGAATATCAAATTTTAATACCTGTACACGAGGAATTCACATCAGTGTGAAAATTCCCAAAACAATGAAGCCAAATTGAGTATAAAGGCCATTTTTGACAAAGGAGAAAAGGTGGGGTCAAGGGGTATTAAATTTCAGAAGTGAGAATGGGCTGGAACACACAGGGCAGGCAACTCAGAAACAATGGAAAACCAGGGTGTGTCTGGCTAACAGGCCCCAGCCTGAAGCCCTCCTATTTACCCTATTTAATTCAAATTAGGCTAAAGTAAACATACTAAGGTTTCTTTCTGAAGAGGTTTCTCTATCTGAATTTCTTGGGCAGGAAAAGGGGAAGGGTCAAGTTTTTTTCTGAGTCCCCTTTTTTTTTTCTTTAGCAAACAGCTTAAAATCAACATCTCAAAAAAGGCAGCTTCAGAGGGGCACAAATCTGGCCCCTTTCAGAACTCATTTTCAAATTATATTTGAAATGTTCAACATTATAAATGGTGATAGCCACTCATCTGTTCTAGAATATATTAAAACACTCAGTTGTCAACGCACCATTTCTCATGAGTTCTTAATGTGTATGTGCCCAGTTCTACCTTTGTTTTACTGACAGATATTCTGAAAAGCTGAAATGTAGCCTGGAAGGCATGCTGTGGTCAAGTCTGGGAGGGTGTCAGTTTTCTTTAGATGAAGTTAGGAAAATATAATGCAAGTAGCATATCTAATATGTGCAAGGCACAATGGTAGACCAATTCACTGTGGAATAGTATTATAAAGAGAATCGACTGGATCCTTCCTCATCTAGTAGAGAAGACAGATAAAAATCTAAGGAAGAGTCACCTATGTATACTGTGTCTAAGTAGTATGTTTTGGGATGGAGACAAGAATAAGCATATTTTCCATGAGGAAACTGGGCAACACTGCATGAAGAAGGGACTCACTGGTCAGGAGCTGTGACTTATCAAATAGTGACTTATCATTGTCAGAGGCATCAAACAATGGACATGTTTGTGTAAGACAATCAATTCATCTGAAAGTAAATTTGTAGTTGCAAGTAATTGTTAGGGTGGTAGGTGACATGGGCTGTGAAAAAATTCACAAAGAAAAGAAAGTGCAGAGAGTAAAGGTTTTATTTTTACTTTCCCAAGAGATGGAAAGAGCTAGGTGTAGAGATATGCACCAACCTTGAGGGGTGGGGGCTTTGAGCTTATATCAGGGAATGGAGTGGTTGGTAGAGCAGGATGTTTCAGTTGAGCTGCAACTTGTTTCAATGATATCTTTGGATGCAGGGTCCAGTCCGGTCATTGTGGTCTGGTTGTTGTGGTCTGCTGTGCCCTGTTTCATAAGTTCCTGGAGCTTCTGTGCCTTCAGGGTGCTTCCAGTAATTTCCTAGTCCTGAGCACAAAGGCTCATAAAACTATTAGGGTTGATCATAAGTTATGGAGTCCAGCTAGCTCTAGCAAAGAGGGCCTGAAAAGGAAGCTTTTGTTCTATTATTTCCCCTTCTGGTTTTTGAGATGGGTTTATTCTTAATGAGCTGAACCTGTTCTGGTTCTGAGATGCAGAGATTAAGTTCTCTTCTGATCTACTTACTGCATTCAGAGGATTATGGACATAGAGTTGTCTCTGCCTGTGGATCTAGGTATGAGTCATTAAAAGGAAGAGGGTGGAACTGGACAGCTCAAAAGGTGAGAACTGTAGCCCAGGATTGTTTGCAAAAGTCTCCTAGAGCTTGGATGCTTTGTTGGATGAAAGATATAAGGTATCTTAGGAGACATGGCCTGAAAGTGACAATAAAGAGAAAATCAGTGATGGTACCTAGAAAAGGAGTCAGCCAAGAAAACCGGGGCCAGATATTGGCCTTAAAATTCTAAAAAGGAAAAGGCAGAGTAGTAGGTAAATTCTGTATGTCTGACGCTGTATCAGTAGCTCTCAATTCCAAATCAAGGGATGAAAGAAAAAAATGAAATATTAACTTGGAAGAAAACTAAAAAAATTAGGATCTAATTCAGTTTTTGGGTGACAGTGAACATTGTGATTTTCTTTGAAACACAAATTCTCTCCCTAAATCACCCTCATTTTATCAAAGAAACTGCATTAAGTCCAGTTTCAATTTGGCTGATTATTTGCATGAACACAACAAGAATAGTAATTGATCGTATAGGCTCTTTCAGATCTGCTTTGCTGGAATTTTACAAGGAACCTTCAGATTGAGCTTTAGCCAGACTCTCAGGTCAAAGTAGCCAAGCCACAATTTCCATCTAGCTTTGTCTGAAATTGCTATAAGTTTGGGTAGATTTCTGAAGTTCTTGAGATGCCCCAAATGTCTTCAGGTTCCTTCCTTGCCATCTTTCAAGATAGCAACCTCCATTCCTTCCCTGGAAAGATTGCTATGAACCACATGACCAAGCAAGGTACCAGGCCATTTCTCCAATGGGCTTTTATTGGCTTCAAAAATCTATCTTAATTCCTTAAGGCTCTCTGGTGACATCCAGAGTCTGGGCATGACTCTTTCCATCATGACATTCCAGACAAAGACTTGGTTAATAAAACTACATTTGGAAACTGGTGCTATTATAAAGAGAAAAGATTCTTATTTGGTCTATGCAAACAAACATATTGCCATGGAAATAATACTCATTAAGAGTTGCCAAATTCTGGAGGGATTAGGTAGGGATAAAAATATAAATGTTTCAATATTGCTTATGAGGGTATGCTTTAGAAATTGCTCTAGAGAAAAAAAGTTTCCTTATATCTAGAAAACAAAAAGATTTAAAATGAACAAAATTTTGAAAAAAATTTTGTTTGTCTTGAGTATTTGCCTGCATTTCCACGAATCCAATTTTCTTTAGGGTTGTATAAATCTTAATTTAATTAAAAAATATGACCTGCTTAGATACCTGTAATTTAAAGTCAGACTTACTTTTGTGGCACAAAAAGTGGTGGCATAGGGCACACAAGGCACCCTGGGTGTGCAAGATGGCAGCAGGCAGACCCTGGGTGTGGGGTGGCAATGGGCAGACCCAGTGAGGCTGCAATTGTGAAGTAAGGCACTGCACGCAAGGCAGCTGGCTGACCTGGTGGTCCCACATTTGTGCACAGATAAACCAGGCAACACTAAGGAGCAAAACAGACCAAGAAACTCAAGATTCCAGAGCAAGGAAATAAAGCCTTAAAACCCCTATTGAAAACACCTGTGGGGATTGAGTTGCAGGGAGAGACTCCCAGCCTCACAGAAGAGTTCACGGGAGAGACCCACAGGGTCCTAGATCATACACAAGCCCACCCACACAGGAATCAGTGACACGAAGGCCCAGTTTGCTTGGGGGAAGTGGTGGAAAGGACTGAAATCCGACAGAGAATGGAGTAAGCGCCATTTGTTCCCTATTGGGACCCTGTCCCCATCTACTGCATCACGACCTAGCAACGGGGTGGCCCTGTCCTGGTGAACACCTAAGGCTCTGCCCCTCATATGTAACAGGCACGACAACACACACAAAAAATGGCCTCAACAAAAGAACAAATAAAAGCTCCAGAGCAAATAAAACTAAGCAACAAAGAGATAGCCAACCTATCAAATGCATAGTTCAAAGTACTGACGATTAGGATGCTCACAGAATTGGTTGATTTTGGTTGCAAATTAGATGGAAAAATAAAGGCTATGCTAAGTAAAATGAAGGAAAATGCACAGGGAACCAATAGTGATGGGAAAAAACTGGGACTCAAATCAATGGAGTAGACCAGAAGAAAGAAAGAAATGACCAAAAAGAAAAGAATGAAGAAACAAGAATTCAAAACAAATGAGAGGCTTAGAAACCTCCAGGACATCTTTAAATGTTCTAACATCCAAATTACAGGGTACCAGAAGGGGAAGAGGAAGAGCAACAAGTGGAAAACTTATCTGAACAAATAATGAAGAAGGACTTCTCTAATCTGGCAAAGGAAAGAGACCTCCAGGAAATCCAGGAAGCTCAGAGAGTCCCAAAGAAGTGGACCCAAGGAGGAACACACCAAGGCACATCATAATTACATTAGCCAAGATTAAAATGAAGGAGAGAATTCTAGAAGCAGCAAGAGATAAGGGGATAGTCACCTACAAAGGAGTTCCCATCAGCCTGTCAGCGGATTTCTCAAAAGAGACCTTCCAGGCAAGAAGGGCTGAAAAGAAGTATTCCAAGTCATAAAAGGCAACAACCTATATCCAAGATTGCTCTATCCAGTAAAGCTTTCATTTAGAATGGAAGGACAGATAAAGTGCCTTCTCAGATAAGGTCAAGTTCAAAGAGTTCATCATCACCAAGCCCTTATTATATGAAAAGTTAAAAGGACTTATCTAAGAAAAAGAAGA